GGGGGGAGGGGGATGAGCCCTCAGACTATAACCAAAGAACATCTCTCCACCTTCCCCCTCTTAGAGGCCTTAGCTCCACCCTCTGCCCTCTGCCAAGTTCTAGGCCCTCAGAAAGCTGATGGAGCCAGCCTGACTCTCTTGCGGAGCTGTTTCTAAATATCTAATGGGGGGTGGAGGTAGAGATTTCACTTGGAGGGGGTTTGCCTGCCATCCTGGGTGGGCAGACTGTGGCTGGAACTCAAGAAACCTCCAGGAAAAAGGAGAAAAGGAGGCTTTTGAGGGCAGCCAGTGTCAACCTGGGGCTCTCTCTGGTGCCCTACTTCTGTCCACTCCCTCCCCCCAGCTGCACTTTAACCCTAGAAGGGGTATGGGGACCTGGGGGAAGGGCACGCTGGCCCAGAAGATTGTCCCTCGGTATCCAGTACCCAGAACTGCCTGTGTCTGCTCTTCTGTTCCTAGAGTGGCTACCAGAACCCCAAGTCCCCTGCCTAGGGGTGTCCTGGCCCTCATGGCTGTTACGACCAGGGCTTCTGGAGCTTGTAACCAGTAGGCTGTCTCTCAGACTGACCCTGAGTGTTCTCATGAATAAACTCGTTCAGTGCCTGTGTTCTCCTCCTCTTTGGCTGGCTCTGCTGACCTGGGGTTCAGGCCTGGTAGGGAGGGGTTGGGCTGCAGAGTCCCGGAACATACCCACCAGGCTCACCTCCTATGGCCCTCCCTGTGTCCCAGGGACCCTCTCACTTCCTGCTGTGTGGTGCGCCCCAGCTGAGCTGCACCATCTCCCAGCTCCCCACCTCTGTCCTCTGGGCCCACTTCTGGCTTCCTGCACATTTCTTGGGTGAGCCTCCAGAACAGGGCTGTCCTGATTTTGACCTTTGGTCCCTTGAACTTGCCTCACACCATCTCTTCACTCTTACAATGATCCAGCATCGCCCTTGCCTGGGCCCCAGAAGAAGGAGGATTGGCAGAACCACTGGTTCAAATTAACATGAGGTCCTTGCTGTGGGGGGCTGTTGTAGCCATTGCATAATTTACGTAAATTAACATGCTAATCCTTGCCACCACCTTGTGATGGAGATACTGCCTTCACTTTACAGATGATGCGTCTGAAGTACAGAGGGATTAAGTCATCTGTCCAGGGTCATACAGTTAAGAAATGTCAGCCTCAGAGCTCAAATCCCAGCTCTAATCACTGCTGTCAGTATAACCCTAGTGAAAACACAAACTGGTTGCTGCAGACTGTGGGTTCTGACTCATGGTGACCCCATGTATGCAGAGTGGAAATGTGCTCCACAGAGTTCCCAGTGGCTGTAATCTTTCAGAAGCAGATAGCCAGGCCTGTCCTCCGAGTGTCTCTGTGTGGGTTCAAACCACCAGCCTTTCAGCTAGTCAAGCACTTAACCATTTGCACCACCCAAAGACTGTTGATGTTGTAGATGCCCTTGAGTCGGCTGTGCCTCAGTGACCCCATGCATAATGGAATGAAACATTGCCCCGTCCTGCGCCATCCTCACTGTCACTGCTATGTTCGAGCCCATTGTCGTACTTGTTGTGTCAATCCATGTGGTTGAGGGTCTTCCCTTTTCACCGACCCTCTACCAACCATATGACTTTACTTGTGTGCTGTCCAGTCGATTCTGACTCATAGAGACCTTTTAACAACCCTACAGGATAGAGTAAAACTTAGCCCACAGGGTTTCCAAGGCTGTAATATTTACGGAAACATATTACCATAACCTTTTTACAAGTGAGGAGACAGCACCTTTATGCCCTGGGAGTGGTTTGCCTGGGCTGGGAAGTAGGAAAGGGGCCCTGTTGGTGCAGTGGTTAAACACTTGGCTGCTAACCAAAAGATAGGCGGTTCAAACCCACCAGATGCTCCTTGGGAGAAAGATGTGGCAGTCTGCTTCTGTAAAGATTACAGGCTTGGAAACCCTATGGGGCAGTCTACTCTGTCCTAGGGGGTTGCTATGATACAATGGGTTTAGGATTTTTATTTATTTACTTATTTTTTATTTTTATGTCTCTGCATGCCGGAGATATATTTTTCTCCAGCCCAATTTCTTAAGATGTGTGGAAGGAGGAGAGGGAGGCTGACAACCACTAGGTGTGACTAGAATGGTCCAGGAGGTGCTAGGGCTCCAAGTTAAGTGGAGGCTGTGTGATCGGAGAGTGGGAGCCTCAGGAAGAGGCAGGACCACATGGAGACGTGCTGCTGATTGGATGTAAGAGCCCAGAGAAAGGAAGGAGCGAGATTTGAGAGATGAGAAGCAATTAAAGAAAAGTGCAGCTTTGTACAAACTTGCTAATATGGGGGCAGTGACTTATTGTTTGTTTCTCCACCAAACTCGAACTGAACCACCAAGAGAGCCTGGGGTGGGGTGGGGTGGGGGAACGTGGGCTGCCCAACTAATGGGATGGACTTACAATCTTTACAAAGGATTAATACTAATAGCCATCACTCCTCTGTCAGTTTGTTGGGTTTCAGCAGAGCTTCTAGCAGACTAGAAAGAAGGACCTAGCAATCTACTGCTAAAAAAGTTGGACAACGAACACTGCCTGGTGTAGTGTTGGAAGAAGAACCCCTCAGGTTGGAAGGCATTCAAAATATGACTGGGGAAGAGTTGCCTCCTCAAAGTAGAGTGGGTCTTTAATGATGTGGATGGAGTAAAGGACCTTCATTTGCTGATGTGGCATGACTCAAAATAAGAAGAAACAGCTGCAAATATTCATTAATACTAGGAACATGGAATGAATGCACGAAGTATGAATCTAGGAAAATTGGAGGAGGTCATCAAAAATGAAATGGAACACATAAAGATCAATATCCTAGGCATTAGTGAGCTGAAATGGACTGGTATTGGGCATTTTAAATCAATCATATGGTGTACTGTTTGATGAATGATAATTGAAGAGGAATGGCATCACATTCATCCTGAAAACATTAAAGATTTATCCTGGAGTGGGATACTGTCAGTGATAGAATAATATCCATACACCTACAAGGAAGACCAGTTAATTTGATTATTATTCAAATTTAGGCACCAATCACCAATGCCAAAGATGAAGAAATTGAAGTTGTTTTTTTCTTTTTTTCCTTACTGACTTCTGTAGTCTGAAATCAAACATGCAATCAAGATCATATGTGATGTCCAGGTAATAACACATTATGGATAATTACTGGTGATCAGAATGTGAAAGTTAGAAACAAAGAAGGATTGATAGTTGGAAAATGTGGCTTTAGTGATAGGAATAACACCAGAGATTGCATGATAGAATTTTGCAAGACCAATGACTTATTCATTGCAATTATATATGCACCTGGACCTCGCAGGATGGACTACACGCAAATCAAATCAACTACATCTGTGGGAAGAGACGATGGAGAAGCTCATTATCATCAGTCAGAATAAGGCCAGTTGCTGGCTGTGAAGCAGTCAATTGATCATAGGCCAGTTCAAGTTGAAGCTGAAGAAAATGAAGACCATGGGAGCCAATATATGACCTTGAGTATATCCCACCTGAATTTAGAGACCTCTGAAGAATAGATTTGACAATTGAGTATCAATGACCAAAGACCAGAGGAGTTGTGGGATGAAAACAAGGACATTATACATGAAGAAAGTAAAAGGTCATTAAAAAGATAGGAAAGAAAGAGAAGACCAAAATGGATGTCAGAGAGATTCTCAAACTTGCTCTTGAACAGAGAATAGCTAAAGCAGATAGAAGAAATGATAAAAGCTTGTTTTGGTTCTCTAGTGCTGCTTTAACAGAAATACTACAGATGGATGGCTTAAACAAATGAGTTTATTCCCTTACAGTTTAGGAGGCTAGAAGTCTGAGTTCAAAGTGCCAGTTCTAGGGGCTGGGTGAAAGCCCCTTGACTTTGGACTTCAGCTCTGCTTCTTGTTCCCTGGGCACTGAAGATGGAGGCTTTTCTTAATCTAGGCAGCTGTTGGCTGCTGAGGCTGGCAAACTCAAGGTTGACAAGTAAAAAGGCACAGTCTCAAGATTATAAAAAAACATGGCAGGCCACTAGTTCAAATCCAGAAAAAGTCCCAAAATCTTTGACAGGCAGGCTGCTAAATGAAGACTCAGCTACCTGAAGGGTCCAGGCATGCCAAAAGCTGCAGAGACCTTTCTCAATGTGTCTTCTTATACACTGGAAGCAGACCACATCCCTAAGGCAGCTACTCAGCTGCTCCAGTAGATTCCACCATGGAGTTGATTACCAATCTCCTCATGGGGAATAACTACATCCAGCTGCCCAGCCACTCAAAACCAGGCCTGGCCAAGTTAACACAAAACCTTAATTACCACAGAAATCAACAGAAGATTTCAAAGTGTGGCTTGAGAAGACAAAGTAAAGTGTTATAATGAAATATGCAAAGATGTGGAGTTAGAAAACCAAAATGCATTTCTTAAGCTGAAAGAACAAAAACAACAACAAAAATCAAGCTTCAAGTTGCAATATTGAAGGATTCTACGGGCAAAATATTGAAAAATTCAGG